CAGAGCCTAGTTTAAAGCTGTTCACCATCTGGCAAGCAAGAATTCCACCACAATTAACATTTGCAGTGAAGGTTGCCAACCTAGAAACAACATTCCTTTCATTTATAGATATTTTATGTTAAAATAGCAATGATCCAGGCTTTGGGCCTTAAATGTATATAAGCTTGGGTAACACCACATCCCTTGTGACACTATCCTAGCTCACTGCGTCCCCAGGATCTAGACTTTTACCTAATCAATTGTAATCCTGTCAAGTGCCCCTTGGAAACACCCTATGATCTCATTTAGGCTTTTTAGCCAAACCTCACTGAAATCCTATATATGACTGTTGTTAAGAAACATAAAAGTGGTCTGGGGAGATGACTCAGTGATTAAGAACACTGACTGCTCTTGCAGAGAACCCAGGTTCAATTCCCAACACCCACATGGTGACTGACAAATGTCTGTAATTCCAGTTCCAGGGGAATCCAATGCCCTCTTTTGACCTACTTGGGCATTGCATGACACTTACCTACAGGCAAGCAATACACTCATACATATAAAATAATAAATTTTAAAAAACAGAAAAGAATGACTCTTACAGAAGTCATTACCCACACTCTCCCTCTCTGGTATGTCTTAACTTTTTTTTTTTCTGAGTGCCTCCTTTTCTCTTAACCTTCACGTGTAAGCCTACATTAAAATAAATTTAGCTGGGTGTGGTGGCACATGCATTTAATCCCAGCACTCAGGAGGCAGAGACAGGCAGATCTCTCTAACATCGAAGCCAGCCTGTTCTACATAGTGAGTTCCAAACCAGCTGAGGTTGAAGGAAGACCCTGTCTCAAAAAAATCTGAAAAAAAAATCTGTAATAAAACCCCAACTCTATTTCATACTGCCTAGTCTAGAAATTCTTTACTGTCTCAAAACCATGGATCCTGGTTTGGCCTTAATTGAAGTCCCTAAAAGATTAAGGGAAATCCTCAAGCTGTTGCAGACAGAGTGGAGCTGTGCCTCCTTCCCCACCTCTCTTGACAATAAGAAGAAAGAATAGCTTCCAGAGAAATCTAGATCTGTCCCCCTTTCTGTAGGCCCAGAGCCCATCAGCCCCCACACAATAGGACAAAACCTCCCCATACCTTCTCTCCCCATCTGCAATCCGATTTGCAAATGAGAATTCAGAGTGCAGACCTGTGTTTGCTTGGCAGCTCATCTGCAGGCATTTGAAGCCCAAGGGAAAAGTCTCTTGCCCTCTGAAATCTGCATCTTAATATATTTTCACTGAGCCAGGAAGAGCTGGTCATAAAAAAGAGACTTGTTATCTGATAGCATGGTTTCTCCTAGTCAGGCGTGTCCCTGAATTATTTTGCTCAGAAGTCAAATGTTAAAGGATTGATTTTTCTCCTTTAATAAACAAGCACAGAGGTGAAGGATGTGAGGACAAGAGCATTCCAGAATCTGAAAATGATTGCTTAATTGAGGCTGTTTTTCTTTCTCTGAAGAACACCTTTAGGCGATGATGCTGTTAAGGCTGTAATCTTTATGGCTGAATCCCCTGCTTTATAATCGGCATATATATTTTTTGACAGTGTGATTTGCCTTCAATGCAGGATCTAAACAAATTTGGTCATTTGCCTAGAAAAAAAATGAACTTAATCCATGAGCTCTAAGGGTTTTCTTAAACCTGGCAATATGCTGGTAGATTGCTGTCTCCCTTGGTGAATGCTCTCTGTGTGGCTTGCTGAATGAATGTATAATTGTGTCTGAATGTTATATTCTCTCCTTAAAAGCAGCACAGAAATTTCCTTAATGGTATGTAAGCCAAAGAACTAGCAAAGGGCCACATTTATGCATACATTCAGCATCAGGTTAAAATCCCAAGGGGGCACCAATTATCAAGTTAAATGCAGTTTCTATTTCAAGCCGGATTGGAAAGCAATGGGATAATGCCGTGGGCCTTTAAAGGAAATGCATTTTAATTGATCAACCTGTAGTCCTTGAATCCAAATGAGCCCTATTCTCATTCCCAAGTGGAAATCCCTAATTCTGGGTCAGCCCAAGAATGTAGGAGAATGGATTTCACAGGATGGCATATTCAAATTAGTAGTGTTCTTTACACAGGCCTAATCATAATGGGAGGCTTTTTGTAAATCCTCTAACTGCTCTAGTTAAAAAACTAGCGGCTCATTTGAGTAATTATCATCCCACATGCCCTGGGCTTCACTGCTAGAATAGTATTGTGTCATTCAGTTACTCAGTAAGTAACCTTGGAAACAAAGATAATTACCTTCCAGGCTGTACTCTCAAAATGTAAAGATAATACAAAATGAGTGGTTCAGATGACTTTGGACAGTCTTGTGTGTTTCTGACAGTTACTGTTTGAAAAAGAGGAGATTCCCAAGTATCCCATGCAGTCCTGGACCCAACTGGGCCTGCTTTTACTCTGTCTCAGAGGCCATACAGGAAGATACCATGGGGTGGGGAGGAAAGGGAGGGAATGGTGGATTGTTTTAAGCAAGGTGATCTACTAGATGAATTTGCTCTGTGTTCCCCCAGCATTTATCATGGAGCCTGGCATATAGTGGGCATCCAGGAAATGTGGGCAGAGTGAATACTGAACTCAGACATAAGTAGAAATTGTACCATTGCAGCGTGCATACTAACAACTGGGTATGGTGCTTTATGCTCTTCTGAACACAATACTGTTTCCAGTTTATTTTCCTACAAAATCTTCACCTATTTGAACCTTGTTTCTCTTCCGTGGAAAAGCTGTATAAATAGTGGTTTTTCATAAACCTTTAAGATAAACAAGTCTAATTTGACATGATGTATGAGGCTATTGTTTTCAGATGGGATCTACCTATGATGCCCAGGCTAGTATTGAACTCGTGGGCTCTAACAATCCTCCTGCCTCACCCTTCCAAGTAGCTGAGACTACAGGTATAGGCACCCTACTGATAGGATTCAGATCCAGGCGACCCCAAACCCAGAAATCATAAGGCCCCTAGGAGGAACTAAGTCAGCCAACTACCAGCCACCTGCAAGCTGACAAAACAGTTCCAGGAACTGGTGACCCAATGCATTGTGATCACCAGAGCAAGCTTCCCAGGCTGACAAACAGGTTTCAAACAGGTTTCCCAAGCCTTGTAGCTGCAATGGATTCCTGGAACCCTGTAATTGTAAAAACATGTTTTACAGTAAATGCTTTCTTTGATAAGTTTCACCAGGTACAGACCCCACATCCTCCCTGAACAGCCCCCAAACAGCCCCAAACAGCCAAAAAATATTCTTTTTCCACATTATTTTCCCTTTATAAGCTATTCCCCTACAGCCATTAGGCTGCTGGTTTCACTCACTCCTGAGTTGGGTCCCAGCCCTGCTGACCCTCAAATAAACTCTCACTTTACTAGAGTCCTCTCTGTTTCTATTTCATGGAGATCCCGACCCCTGCACCTTTTTTATCTAACACCTGCCAGGTTGATATATGGGTGGAGGGTGTTTGTTTTGATGATGCTGGGGATAAAACCCCAAATTTCCCATATAGTAGTCAAATGCCCCACCACTGAGATATATGCCCAACTTGATGTGTATATTTTAAAGAACTAAATGTGAAATGTGTACATTTTGAAAATTATAACTTCATTGAAAGCAAAGAGCCTTTTTTTTCCCTATATTATAGTATATGTACTGTCCAATGAATGTTAGAATATGGAACTTTCTGTATCCCATACATGGTGAATTTGAGCCTTAACAAAATAAAATACATATTAAATTTCAAGCTCTCACAAATCCACTGAACTTGTCTCATAGCTTTGGTCTGTATCATGATGCCTTGAGAGGCATATTAAAATGTGAAGACAGTTTTTATAACATTAAATTAGACCTTAATTTTGAACCAGAACATAGATAATCTATATTTAAACAGAGTGAACACTGAGGTAACTTTTACAACCCTACCCAGCCATACCAGGGAGGAAGCAGGTGGACAGACTGAGGCATCTCAGTGCCATATTATTTAGAACCTGATGTGTTGACAGAAGATAGGCTGGCACAGTTTGATTGATGTTCACCACCAAGTGTATCAGATGGAAATGATCATAATGGAGCACAGCCTGGCAAAACACCTTGGAGCTCCCACTAGATCGGAGGTCCTTTGGGAAACCAACAATTCATCAGGTATCACCAAGTCTATAGCCAGTTACAGGTGTATACAAAATAGTCTTGCTTTTAGAAACCAACCTCAAAATGGATATGCAAGAGAGTCTTTTCTGCTTGCGATATTCAAAGGACATCATATTTTTTACAATGATTTCCTCTGAAGCAAGGATAAAAATTATTTAGCCCAGAAATGGTGCTAAGGTCTCTTCATAGTAGGTAAGAGACCACAGTCTCGTATTTGATAATCTGGTCCATCACTGTGAGATTGCTCATGTGGTTCTCAGATCATAGTAGAGTTAAGGATTAATTAAATTTATCTCAAGAATCTCCAGCTTTTGTTGTTTTTGAGACAGGGCCTTGCTATGTAGCCCAGGCTGGTTTTGATCTAGCAATCCTGCTGCGTTACCCTACCAAATGTTGGGATTACAGGCCTGCACCACCATGTCTGGCTGTGAGTCTCCATCTTAATAGGAGACACATTCCTTTTCTTTGGCACAGCTCTCTTATAACCAACTCCTCTCTTCTGTTCTCATCTCTCAGCTTTACTTGACTGTGTCTTATGATGAACTCCATTCCTTCTGGATTAGGAGACTTTCTGAGCATCTATGGAAGTAAAATGCACTCACCATCACAGTCATCCTTGGATGGGGTATAACAGAAATATTTAATTCCTCATACAATATTTAAGTTCATATGCAATGAATAGTCAGTCATAGGGTTTCCCATGGTACCTAATAATTCAGAAGTCCCCACTTAGACAATATGGGATTTGACTGGTTCTTATGTCATATTATCTCTACATTAGGGAGTATGTAGCTATCTATAGATGATGATATGAAAATTAATTTAGTCTAGATTCATATTTTTCACTTGCTCAAATATTTATTTGAACTCATAAAAAGTTAATTGACATGATTTAAAAGGTGAAGAACTAAAATACATCCCAAATTTTGACCAAAAGACTGTAGGAAGTAATTTAAAGAACTTAACATCAAAATCACTGTAAGCACATTGCTAAAATCCCTCCATAAAGTCACATCTCTCCTTAACCACACCCCCAGGTGGTGAATTCATAGGCTGATTTTCTCTGAAAGATGCCAAAAATATAGCCAAAGTGAGAAATGTAGCCAACTAGAAGGAAGAAATATAAATGTACAAACAGGATATTTCTGCTACAGTCTAGGCATTCAGGAGGTTCATAATCTTCATACAAATATATAAAAGTTTTAGTGAGCTATATTCATTTCAATCCATCCTCTTCTGCTTTAATTCTTCACACCAAGCCTGCAAAAGAAAAAACAAGCAAACCATTAGATTTTTTTCCTCCTTAATTTTATTCAGATATGACTAACAAACTGTGTATATTTACAATGTAATGTGATGTTTTGATATATTCATGCACTGTGAAATGATTCAATCAAGCTAATTAGCAGCTACAACACCTCACATACTTTTGTGGTTAGAACACTGACTACTCTCAACAATTTTCAAATATATAATACATTATTAACTGTAGTCACTGTACTGGACAATGGTCTCCCAAAGCACATTCTTCAACCCCTAAAAAGCACCATTCAACTCTCTGCTTCTGAAGCTCAATGTTTACATTTCACATACAAGGAGCATCATACAGTATTTATCTTTCTGTGTCTGACTTAATTCACTCAACATAATGTCCCCTAGGTTCATCATTAGTTTAATTTTCATGAGATATTATTAGGGATAGCTTAAAACCACTATGATTGGTACTACTCAAATGGGATATAAGATTCCATTTTTACATGTAAGCTGCTCTCAATTCTGTGAATGCAATGGTGAACTAGAAATGGGTATGACCATCAACTTTGGCCTCAGTAATTTCAGTAACTGCCAACTAAATTAGGATGGTGTCCTTTTAAAAAAATTAAAATTTATACTGTTTATGACTATGACTGGCAAAATCTTGCCTGAGATAAATTTTCATGTATGACTCTAGTTCACCCCTTTCTAAATCCATTCCCATTGCTTTGTAACTTTGCAGTTTCTTATCATTATGGGTAGGATGTAAGTTCTCATGCCTGAATTGAGCCACGTGACTTGCTTTGGCTAAAAGAATGAGACAGGGGTATCTTAAAAAGAATTCCATGCTGAAGCAACCAGAGTGGTCTGCGTCCTGATTCCCTAACCGCAAGTTGGGTAACCTCTTCAGAGGATGGTGTGATAAGAATAGGAGGTAGGAACTGGCTAGGCAGTTAGGGTAAAAAGACCCCAAAGAAAAGTAGCCAGTTTCTTGGCTAAATGTCCTTGGGCCTCTTAGCAACGTACACCGTTCCAAAGGCCAAAAATGTCAAAAGTATTTGGGAGCTTTTCTCTAATCCTTAAAAGATTTTAGGGTTACCTCTTCAGAAGGGGAAATGTTAGAGTAGCCAAAAGCCCATTAAAAAAAAAGAAGAAGGAGTACATGAAGTTATCAGAAAAAAAGTGATGTGGAGATATGGGAGAAGTTGGAGGGGAGGGAGTGGGTATGGATTTGACCAAAACACCTTATATGCATGTGTGAAATTCTCAATAAATTATTTTTTTTAAAAAAGAATCCCATGCTGTTGCCTGCTTAGTTGTACCTCTGCTATTGCTGGAGGAATAATGAGAAACATGTAGATAAGAGCCACCCAGATAAAATGCCTCATCCAGGCCCTAGCTAGCACAGAGCCTCCAGCAGACATGAAGACTCCTACGTGAGTCTAGGCAAGATCAGCTAAGTACAAAATGGATGAGCTAAAATGAAAAATATTTTGTTTTTAGCCACATTGGATTTGGGGGTTATTTGTTATGCAGTAATACCTAATAACAAGGTGCCATTTCTTTTCAAAGCTCTTGATTATTTCCACCAGTCTTTGGTATCATTCTTTGTGTGTTTTACTTATGTGAATGGGAAGAATCATTTCTAAATAGAAGAAATACATTGTGTAGTAACAATGGCTGCTTTAAAAATATCTGCAGACAATGGTGAAGTTTCTTTCTGCTAGGGCAGAAACTAACGTTTGGTACTCTCCATAGTCCTTTCTTTTTCCTCTACTTCAAATGCCAGTGAGCCAAATACTCTATATCTTCATCTCTCTTACAGCTAGAGGGAGCCAGGGAACCCAGGTCTGGCCAGTAAACCCTGAGAAAATATAGCAGAGATCTCTTATTAAACTTTGCTTCCCTGTATACTCCTGGAGAGATCACAAAGCTCCATGTGTCAACGAGCACTTGTGGCACTGCTGTGATGCCAGCTGCATTGTTCTCCTCACTGACATAAAATGCATAGACGTTCCAAAAGCACAGTGATTTGTTCAAAGCTTCATAACTGGTAAATAGAAAGGCTCGGACTCTGAGGTTCTTTCCAGCCCATGAACAAGGATGATTTGGATGGGTCTTTGAACCAGAGGGAAAGGCAGGAAGGCACTGATGGTTGTAAAACAAAATCACCTCTTGAACTTCTGTAGAATGTTTCATCTTTTTTTCTGTTGTAGTAAGAACACAACATAAGATCTACTCTTTTAACATATTTTTAAACATAAAATGCATTACTTAGGTCATTGATTTAGGTACAGTGTTGTACAGCAATTGATGTCCTTACAGACAATTCATCTTCTTTTACTGAAACTTCTTGTTCATTTGTTTATAATTCCAGACTTTTTCCTCCCTCCAGCCCTTGGAAATAATCTTCCCAAGGTTTGCTTCTACGAATTTCACTATTTTAGCTACGTCATATAAATGGAAACGTATAGTATTTGCCTTTCTGTGACTGGTATATTTCACTTGGCATAATGTCCTCTAGGTTCATCCATGTTATCCTATTGTGCAGAATATCTAAGGCTGAATAGTATTCCATTGTACAATAATACCGTATCTTCTTTATGAATTGTGGTATTAGATATTTAAGGGATTTTTTTCTAGTGATTATCAATGGTCACCAAGAGGAAGTGAAATACCACTTTCTTCCCTGCCCTGTATTTCTAGGTGAGATGCATTTGATAGACCAGCACTCTTACAGCCTGATATTCAGGCACCATGCCAGTCTTACTGCCAACTATTCTCTTCTCATCATTCTTCTGCTCTCTGAATTCACTGGCCCATGTACGTACTGCTTCTGCAACATGGCAAAGCCTTCAAGCCTCCTGCTCTTTTTTTATAACTTTGGACTAAAATCCCACGTCCCCATGAAACCCACTGAATTGTATGTTTGCTTGTGTGCATTGTCTCCTTCCTCTTGTGTTTCCTACTATAACTGCCCTGCACAGGTTATGACCTTCTGAAGGGTATGCATGTATCCTATCCATTTTGTACATCCCATTGCCTAGCATAGCACCTGACACATCCATAGAGGGGCCTCAGGACTGATGTGTTGGATCACTGGAGAAATGAGAACTGTATTAGGAGTTACAGAAAAATTCACATTCTTCAAAGTGAGGCAAGAGGAATGAGCAAGAGTCCATAGATTCAACAAACCAGGACTGCTGATTTATGTGCTATGTCTCCACGGTGCTGTCAGTTCTTCTCTAGACCTTAGATGAAACTCCATCAAGATCAGTGTATGCTATATTCATTTTACTGCAGTTATCACTATGTTGGCTGACATACAGCCAGGCTCTCTGGCTAAGTGAGAGGTCCATGACAAGTTGACCTTGAAGTCAAGACATTCCTTGGACTGCTCTAAACAGCATAAAAGGAGTGATGGTCCATAGCAAATTGTCACTGAAACATATCCTGTGAAGTGTGATTTCTCTCTGAAAAAAAGTTCAGTCTGTGAAGCACTATCTGCAACCCAGAAACGGGTAACATTTATATGACAGGCTTGATGTGGAGTCTGATCACTATGCAATCCCAAGGCAAGTAAAATTGTGAGTTTACTAAGCAATATTATTTAGGAAGTACTATCCTTAAGGGAACTGGGCTCCTTCCCCTCACCTACCATGCCGAAGAGCCAAGAAGCCTAAAAAGTCTTGGTGGGTGTATGCCACCAGCCTGTATTTCCTATGGGAGCAGAGAAAGAGCTGATGATGATGTCACCAGTTTTGAATGCCTACTATATGCCAGGTGTTCCAGCTACCTCCCTCCCCTCATTTATGAATTGATCTTCACTGTTCCTGTAGGAGCCAGGGAGGAGGCAGCAGATGGGACAGAGGAATTACTGCAGTGGTCCTACAGATCATCCTGTGGCTTATCTAGCTCCTTCCCCTTGCCCAGGTTCCTATAGAATTTAAGAGGGTCCATGGGCCTAGGCACAGGACTCTGCTCACAGAAAAGGTCAGATATAGTCCTCCTTGGACTACAAAGTCCCAGAGGAGCAGAGTCTCTGTCTTTGGCCTCATGGAACTCACTGTGTGCTGGGAATGCCTAGCTGATAGCAGAACACAAAAAGTCGGGAATCCAGAAACCTGGACTCTGTTCTCTGAGTCAGGGCTCTAATTTAGAAATGGAATCAATGGGTAGGGATCCAGAGCTAAAACTATCCATGCTGTAAAGCACACTAGTTTTTCAGGGTGTTGGAATGCGAGTGTGTTGAGTAATCTCCAGGGCCACGCTGCTTTGCTGCCTGGACAACAGCTGTCAGCTATTCTCCTGTGTCCTATCATCATGGAAGGAAGGTGAGGCATCTTGCCAAAAAGTTGCTTGTCAGTTACCCCACACTTCTTTTATTCTCCCCAAAATTTAAAACTCAGAAGCCCAACCTCCAGCTGACCATTGGCCAAGGCACAGTTTGACTAGTACAAGAAATACATGTGACACCTCCCTTGTGTCACTCTAAGTTCAGGCTGAGAATCATGTGATGTTTATGCCTCACCATGACCCATTTATAGTTGTCTTACTCATCGTCATTGTGGTCCCACATACATCATATGGGAAATAGAGTCCACTCAACACTTGTCTGCATTTGGTCCTTTAACCAGACACTCAGGGGATGGTACAGCATTTGCTCTCTCCTTTGTGGTGTTAAATCATATAGCCATAAACACAGTGACACCCCAAAGTAGTGAAGAGACGGGCAGTGCCTTGTGCTCTGGTTTCATTTGCAATTGCCAGTTATTCACCAAGTGCACACTTGTTCAAGTTTGGAAGATCATTAGGGGCTAGAAACAAGACAAAGGCCTGGCCTTTGTAAAGTCATCTAGAGTTCACAAGGCACATTCACTGGCATTGTCCCATGCAGTCATCATGATCACACCATGAGGACAGTAGTACAAGCTATAACAAAGGCATATAAAGACTACCACATGCCCACAATCAGAAAACAAGACATGCACAACTTGGAATTGCAC